GGGTACCACTTCTCATGGTACACCTTTGTTCTATGCAGATGCTTTCTGTATGAATTATGCCCTCACTGGCCCTCAGCCTTCTAAATGTGGGATTCTAGCTATAAGTGTCAGTGGAGGTACGTATGTTTAGGAAGTTATCATTGTTCTTAATATGAAAATGTATTTCCAAACATACTTACCTCTGCTGACACTCTCCCTCCCTTCTACCCCACTAAGAGCCAGTGTTTGTGACTGGGATGGGGTAAGTCTCAAAAAAGTTATTATATTGTCGACATACAGTGCTTATATACAGTACTTGCATAGAGGGCATATGAGGGCTGGTGTAAAGTTTTGCACATTAGATATTTCCTAGAGCAGTCGAGTGGGGTATAAAGACTGGAGCAAGAGAACACTATGTTTAGATGGCAAAGATAAAGATCAAGAAATAGCTCTAAGTCAGCGGAGGTACGTATGTTTGGAAATACATTTTCAGATTAGGAAAATGATAACTTTTATTACTATAAGAAGTAACTTGTTATATGTCAACTTTACAGATATTTTACTCGTTTGATTGCTAAAAAAAAGCCCCAACATTTTTTTCTTAGATAGATGTTAGACTGACAAAAATTTCATTTTGGAAATATAATACTGAATAGTAACTTAACTTTTGAATTTGTTTAATAAGCAAAGTAAGTATTGTGTATAATGTTTTTTATTTTTGTTATAAGTGTGGACAGTTATATTTTTTAACACTTTTTGTACTTGTGGTAGATATGGCTGGCCGAGTGCCACATTTCTGTATATGGTTACATCTTTAAATATTTTTATTTGTTAAAGATACTTGTACAAAGGTTATAACCAAACAAAATAAATTGTAAATTTGTGGCAGATGGCTCATCAGTAGGCTTCAGTGCTTATAATGCACAGATTTGGGGTTTGATTCCCATTATGGGCTCAGCACAGATAGCCCCTTGTGTAACTTTGCATTAAACTAACAACTGTGGTCATGACAGGCTCATGTTTCTACCTCCTGATGCTAGTTTCCATATCTTTTATTTGAAATTTTAATAGCTTTGTGTGTATCTTACAATACACATGCAAGGTAATATCAACTAAGAAATAGTGAATCTTGAGCTTTAGTGGTTTATATGCAATATTTGATGTTGTTTCTTCCCCAACAATTTTTTTAATCCACTTCATTTGTGAACTAACATCAGGTAGTCAGATTCATCCAATAAATACAGTTTAGTAGTTGTTTTACACCTGGTTCCTGTATCTTCCTTGCCCAGCAGTGGAATCTGTAGCAGATTCTAAGACTTTGAAACAAACATTTTTTATGTAATTGACTAATATAACAGGATTTTTATGTTTTATTATTTTACATTTTGCTTGCTACCCTTTGGCCAATTGAGTAATGGAAGTTTATTTGTATTGCATTATTGGTGAATAATTATATGAAAATTTTGAGGAAAATATATTACCGACATAGCATCTGAATATTTTTGAATCCTTTCATCATCTTAAAGGTAAATACAATTTCCACATTGTCCATCATAAGATTCTTTAATAGATAGGTCTTTTCTGTAATGAAGTTAATTATTCATTTTGTTTTGTGATCCACCATTGAAAATCCTTGTGACTTTCAGGGATAACCCATAATTTATAAAAAGACACTCTTCTTTTAAGAGTAGTAGTGAAATTTTCTAGTATTGATTTATTTATAAAGATTTTAATTATATGCTACTTTTTATGAATTTTTGAGAGCATTTAAATGTGTTCCTCCTGGAATAATGCAATTTGTAGGTATTATATGTGTTCCATTTAATGTTATATGCTAGCAAGCTTTTCACTATGCTGATTATTTTAGAATGAATCAACAGAAATATTAGCATTTGATGACAGTGATGAAGACGAATGTAATGATGAAAGAACAGATACCATGACTATCTCTCCTAACTCATCTCAACCATCGAAGAGCTTGAGAAATAGTAATGCAGTTATGGATAAAGCTGAGGGAAAAGATAGGGACAGTGGACCTGATGATGATGAAGAAAGGGGTAAAGTATCTGGGAGATATATTATGATATAAATATTTTTCTTGAAAGTAATTAATATGTTCTACTTTATATATTTATTACATGACAAGTAACTATTCATCTGAATAAGTGTCCAAAAAGTAAGAGAATAATTTTGAGATTTGAAAGTTCAGGAGAAATTTTGTCATGAAAAATTAAAGAATTGGGAAAGAAAAGGGAGAAAAAAAAATATCAGCCTTAAAACCAATGTTTTATACAAACTATAGATGATAAACTTTAGAAGTGCTTCTGTACTCAGGGAAGTAAATTTTACTTGCAAAAGAAAGAAAACTTTATGTAACAGGGACAAATAATTCACCCAAAAAAATTCCAGATTTTTCCCGTAATCTTAATTAAGACTCCAAGACATCTTCCCTAATTTTTCAACAGGTAATATATTTTTTTGTTCCTATTTTTCTATTTCCCCCCTTTTTCCCTTTCTTAGTCTATGGACATATAAGCTATTCCATATAATTTAATGTGGAATTTTCTACATCAAGTGAACCAAAATATAACTATATTGGTGAAAGAGAATTTTTGAACCCAAGAATCCTAACCTTTCTATATAGGTTTGTCAAACACTTGGTAATTTTCTTTTGCTGTAAAACTGGTGTGAAAATAAAAAAGATCTGTACATCCAAAAGCTAATGTGATAACATTTGTTGGTGTAATGTTTATCTCTTATTGTGTTACTGTCATAATTTTGCAATGTTAAAACAGGGGTGAATATTCTTCCAAATAAGTCCATTCCAATAGAGGGGAGATAAAAGACTTGTGGCATGCAAAAAAGTTTTTTTGCATATAGAGGGCAGCACTGACTGAGAATAGCTATTTATGTGAGAGAGGTAAGTGCCTATCAGAAATACATTTTCAGTGTAGGAAAGTTATAATTTCCAAATAAGTGTTCAAAGGTATGGGAATAATTTTGAATCATAGAAAGGAGAAAAAAAAGGAAGAGTGCAAAAAATTTTGAAGGAAAATTAAGGAGAAGGGGGAAAAGAAAATAGAGAAATAGTGAAAAACTGTTTATTGACTATTGGGAAATGTTGTTGAAGCTGTGCCTCTATGATGCCATTCTCAACTGCTCAGGCTTGGTAAAAAATTAGGGAAGAAGTTTAAGAATCTTGATTAAGGGTATGGGACAACAGATCTGTGATTTTTGTGGAAGAATACTTGCCCCTTGTGGTAGAACTATCCTGATATCAACAGTATGAGATATAATGATTCAAATTAATTAAGATAAAATCCAGAGATTTTTTTATCAATTAAAGTAAAACATAAGAAAGGTAAATGATATACAAACAATCTACTGTAATAAAAGAAGAAAAAGACAATTAATAAAATAGAAACATGACTTAAAATCTTGATAAAAATGGTATGAAGAAACATGGTGGTGCAGAGCTTTAGCTTCATGCAGTATAACATAAGAGGTTTGAATTCTAGTTGAACAAAAGTGACCAAGGTTGTCTGTAGACTGTGAACAATTGGTGAGGTTGTATGAAAATGATGATCTGATTTTAGCAGGACATATAAAATGGAAGGAAAATCTTGTTCAAAAAGCAGCATATTCATTTTACAAAAGACAACAGGACACAACAAATCTTCGTAAACTGGTATATGGAACTAGTAAGTGATATGAATCATTCCTATAATTTAACTATTTAATGAATATTAGTAGTTTTAGTATTTTATTATTTTCATTCTCATTTGTCTAGAACAGTGGTCGGCAACCTATGACCCGTGGGTCACTAAGTGACCAGCGGCAATAATTTGGCTGACCCGCCAAAAGTTGGCTTCACCATTGCAACCCGTAAGGGCACAATCATTGTTCAGTTCAAATTTCTCAGCTATGTGAGAAGAACAACGATATTAAAGGAAAGAGTCACGGCTACGGAGAATTTTAAGATCAATTTCAGGGAAAATATCAAACTGGTCGAACTCTTAATTTTTTTTGTATCTAAATAAACATACACATTTAAAATACAAGTCTTGATATTAATAATTATATGATTATCACTGACCTAACACAATGCTAAATTTTTCAACAAAAAAATAATTGACCCGCGATCAAAAAAGGTTGCCGACCACTGGTCTAGAATATAATGAACCACTGCATGAATAAGTTGGGTTTAAGGTTAAGCAGTTTTTTTGTTCACATATAGAAAGTGATTATGTATCTTTTATGTTTTTCTGTTAAATATATATAATATGTAAAATAAGTGTATGCTTTTTTTCTCTAAGGAATGGTATAAAAATTTAACTTGTTTAATATTACATCTCAGTCGTGTTATTAGAATGTTCTGATCTTTCACAAGTTAAAATGATTGTGATGTGTATAGTTGCAGAAGATGAAGGAAGTAGCTGTGATGAAGGTGAAGAGTTAGGTGGTTTGTTTCGAGTTGCTATTCGTGAGCAAGGAGAAAAAAGAAATCAGAAGTTTTCCGTTAATGCTGTTGACTGTTCTAAATTTACTGTTACTCATCTTAATGATTGGACAGATCCAGAGGTGAGTTAAATGTACAGTAGAAGCTTCAAGAAAGCTGGACAAGTAAAACTGATAAGGTAAAAAGAACTCAAATTCAACTATAAGATATTAACAAGCAGTGTGGTGCTGTGGAAAAAAAACTACAGTGAAAGAAACATAAAAATAGTATAATAAAATACAGTGTAAGATACTGATAAAGGTTTAGAGGGTACTTGAGAAGAATTTGATAATCTGCCTTTTTTTCAATTCTGAATAGTAAACCAGTTTGTCAGACTTTTTTTTAAGATAAATAAAGCTTTTTTTGTATTTGATTATACATAATTGAAAGGCTGTTTTTTGAAATATATAATTTAAAAAATGAGTTATATTTCACTTTTCAATCCCATTTTTAGTAATAATTTTTGCAGCTGCTTCCTCTCTATTATTAAACATTTTACTACATACTACGATTTTCCTTGTATTTGTTCTTTATAATTATTTCAAAAGATCTTTATGTTAATTCAGAAATGTTTCGAGTATTGTTAGCTCTCTCTATAAATTTTTTTTATACATAGAATGTGTTTTAATAGCCCGTATAACTTTTGGAATAGTACTAACTGGGCGGTTAGTGGAATTTGCTAATTGACATACTCATTAATTGATTACATTTAACTAACCCATTGTTATGCCATCAAAGCAAAAAAAAACAAAACAGGTACACCATGGTTGTTGTTGAAGTAGTAATTATAATAATACAAAATGATAATGTTAACATTTGGGTTTCGATACCCATGGTTGGCAGAGCACAGATAACCCATTATGTAGCTTTGTGCCTTAAAACAAACAAAAACATAATTGCAATTAATCAATTGTTGGAATAATGGAAAGCAGTTATGATTGGAAAAACTAATTGATTATTTGATTATTTTTATTATTAATCAATGTAATTGCTGCTCATAGGTAATCAATTTAATCACCCAGTTTTAGTGGTAACCATTTTGTTGTATTAAATATCTTATTTTTAACTGTTTATAAGACTCGTTAATCGTTACTTTCATGTAATTGCTGCTCATAGTTTATCAATTTAATCACCCAGTTTTAGTGGTAACCATTTTGTTGTATTCAATGTCATATTTTTAGCTGTTTATAAGACTCATTAATCATTACTTTCAAAACTAAACCCTCATCTACTATTCAAAGAAAACATTCTGTGCAACAACTTTCAGGCTAGTTTTTCAAGTATAGCATGATCTTTGTGTCATAAGATGCTAGTCATAGTGATCAAGTCATATTTTATTGCTAAAAGTTTGTATAGTTTGTCATGCATGAATAATTTAGATTTTGCTGTAATGGTGCACTTTAATTTTCAAAATGATCACTTTTTATAAGTTATTAGGGTATGATATGCAAACCTGCTATCCACATTGATTTAGTTAATTTCAAATAATTTTCAGAACTTACCACACTACATAATGTTTTTCATTTTATTGTAAACATTCTGTTCATTTGAAGGAGTTTGATTGAATCAGTCATGACATTGATCAGTTTGTTGTTGAAAATATTCGTATTTGAGAACAGTAGTTTGGAAAATAATAAAAAAAATCATTTAACAGATTGTTTTTAAGTTATGATAATGAATAATAAGTGAGAGTGTCATGTATCTTAAATTTTTTGTTAACATGATAATTATGCATTACTTAGATATCAGATAGATATTAAACAGATAGCATTTTCTTTATCAGTGAATAAGAAATGTATATATACACAGCATGGTCACAAGTAAATAGACACCACATTTTCAGAAAAAATTAAATTTTTCAGTCATATTCACATGAATTGATATATTTATAATTTAATTAATATCTAGTAGATCTTCCTTTCACTTCATGGAGTTTGTTGATCCTTTGGGGCATCGTGAGAATCATCTCATCAATTTTAGATTGTGGGATTTTCACCCACTCTTGCTTCAAAACTTGGAGTAGATCGCTCTTCGAAGTTGGTTTTTTTGGTTGTTTCTTGGCTTGCCAGTCGAGTATGGCCCAGAGGTTTTCGATGGGGTTTATGTTAGGAGATTGGCTTGGCCAGGGC